GAGTCGGGGCTCGTCATAGCTTGTTTGTATGTCGCCGGCTCATCACCATCCATGACTAGGATGTCCTGATCATCGGTTAAGACGATACCGAGGTATCTGAATAGTTGAGATCTTTGCCGTTGCGACCTACGTAGGGTAATCGGTTGGGCATTTACATTGTCTGTTTGATTCTGACCAATCTTCTTAGATGCTTCCAAAGTATCTAGATTGTCAGTTTTGTCAGGTTGACATTGTTGCTCGTCCTCTCGAACTTCGTCGAGTTCGATTTTCCTCCCACTTGTCATTTTGGAAAGGTGATCTTTCTCCAAAAAGACACCATCACGAGTAACAAAAACTTTGTTCTCGGATTTATTGTAGAAGTAATACCCTTTGGTTCTTTTGGATATCCCACAAAGAAACACTTATCCGATTTGGGGTGAAGTTTGTCCGAAATTAATCGCTTGACATATGCTTCGCATCCCCAAATCTTGAGAAAAGACAACCTAGGAGGTTTCTTAGTCCATAATTCATATCAATACTACAAAAATAGGCAAAGAGATCTATTAAAAGAGATCTGTTACAAGACTTAACAGGTCTCTTTGGTCAAAAAGACCTGTTGTTACTGATAACAGGTCTCTAATGAGCTTTTTGTTGGCGGGAAAAAAACAAAGAGACCTGTTGTTAGTGTTAAGAGGTCTCTTTGTTTTTATTATTATTTTTTTAATCTTAAAATTATTTATGATTTCTTATATACTAGTATTACATGTACACTAGTATCAAATACTAAGAAACATCCTACAAATATTGAGTAAAATTTTGTTAAAAATAATAAAATAAAAACTAAAGACTACTAACTTCCTTTTTTTTTTTTTTTTTTTTTTGAGGAAATGTGTACTACGCTACTACTAATTATCTTAGAGTAGTACACATTTCCTCCTAACAAAAAAAAATTAGAATAGTAGTACACGTAATACTAGTATTACACTAATTATCTTAGACTAACACTTCCTAACAAAAAAAAAAAATTAGAGTAGTAGTACACGTAGAGGTGTCCACCGTGCGAGTCGTGCGAGCTGGGTTAGGGTTAGGTGGGTCGCGGGTTGGGGTTTCATGACACACGGCACGACACACGTAGGGTAGGGTGGGCCGGGTCGTGGGTTGGGTCGGAGAAGTTGGACACACCAGGGTTAGGTTCGTGGGTTAGACGAGTCGTGGGTGGGTCGAGCTGGGTTTGTGGGTTAGACGGATCGTGGGTGGGTCGAGCTGGGTTTGTGGGTTAGACGGGTCATGGGTGGGTCGAGCTAGGTTCGTGGGTTAGACGGGTCAAGGTGGGTTAGTGAGTTAGGGTGGGTCGAAGGGTGGGTTAGTGGGTTAGGGTCGGGTGGGTTTGTGGGTTAGGTGGGTTAGGGTCGGGTGGGTTAGTGGGTTAGGGTCGGGTGGGTTTGTGGGTTAGGTGGGTTAGGGTCGGGTGGGTTTGTGGGTTAGGGTCGGGTGGGTTCGTGGGTTAGGGTCGGGTGGGTTGTGTGGTGTTTTAATTTTTACAAAATTAACAATTTGATGGCTTGCTCTTAATTAAGATGCCTACGTATCCTTATATTATAAAATAAGGAATCAAAGCCAGCGTAGTTCTTATATTGTACTTCTTTTGAAATTTGGGGGGGGGGGGGCTTGGACCTATCTTTAGAAAACTAAAATTTAATTTTGCAATTAAATTGTAATTTTCGAAAAATAAGTTGCCTACGTATCCCGAAAGAATCAAAGCCCACGTAGTTCTTAGCGTACCTGATTTAGACTTTTCTAGCCACCCATGTTTGTTGCATCATCATCCCCGGAAGCTGCATCATCCGTTGACGACTCCAATATCATCACAGGATCATCTTCATCGTCTTCGTCTTCCTTTAAACCTTGAGTTCTTCTTTCAGCTTGATCCCAATCTTTCTTACAAACACAAATTTGAATGCTTTCCGGAGTTAAGCGAGATCTTTTTTCATCTAACACTCTTCTACCTGCACTAAAAGCAGACTCGGAAGCAACAGATGAAGCGGGAACTGCAAGTATATCTTTTGCAATTCTCGCCAATATAGGAAAACTTTTTTTATGTTCTTGCCACCATTTTATAATTTGAAAGTTGTTGTTGGTCTCATGTTGATATGACAAATAATCATTAATAGCAAGTGTTGAAGAAGATGATGATGAGAATGATGTAGATGCTTTGTGTTTTTGTTTCATAACTTTATCAAGAAAACCAAATCTAGAATCGGAAGTGCTAGTAGTAGTTGGTGTTGCCAAATCAAAACCATAAATAGATGCATAATGATCATAAAGGTCTCCCAAAACAGATTTGCATTTGTTAATATATTCAATAACATCATAATCGATACTTAAACTTGTATAATAAAATTCTAAAAGATTTTCCAAACCTTCAGCTTTGACACCGGGGTCAAGAATAGCAGCAATTCCATAAATGATTGGAAATTCACTAAAATAAGTATGCCACTTACGTTTCATGCTATCAAGAACGGGACGAAGTCCATCAATCTTCATATGCTCTTCGATGGTGTGAACAACTTTAACACACTCAATTATGACTAAATGAACGTTAGGCTCATAAATATAAGAGAAAATATGAGTTGCACTATCAAAAGCATTTAAAACATCACGAACAAAAGAAGCATTAGTCCAATGACTTTCGGTTATTAACTCAGTAGGATCAACACGAGTCTCATTGTAAAGTTGGGTCAAAATATCACGATACTTTATAGCATCACTCAACAACTTGAAAGTAGAATTCCAACGGGTAGGGGTATCAATAGACCATTGTCTTTTCTTAAGACCTCTCTCTTTACACATAGCTATGTACTTTCTTCTAACTGACTGAGTAATCCTAATCCATTTTATAACTGTTCTAATTGGGTTTAGCAATGGTTGCAACTCAGCGAGACCCTCTTGAACAGACAAATTCAAAATATGAGCACAACATCTAACATGCAAGAGACTACCACCCAACAACAAATTCAACTCGGAGTCATTTTTCAAATAGTCAATACACTTTGTGTTTGCAGTTGCATTATCAAGAGACAAAGAAAAAACTTTATTATTCAAGTGAAATTCTTTTAAACAATCCAAAATACGAACTTTGATGTTAAAACCGGTATGCCTTTCTTCCATAGCTTGAAAACATAGTATACGTTTTTGAATAAACCAATCATCATCCACCCAATGAGCAGTAATGCAAAGAAAAGGTTCGCCAAAACTAGAAGTCCATGTATCACTTGTAAAACTAACACGACCATCAAAAGTACGAAATAATTCAATCAAACCACTCCTATACTTATAATAAGAAGTTTGTGTATAACGTCTTAGGGTATTTCGGGGGACACGAGTAAATGCAGGTTGTAATGCAACTTTATTAAAATGCTCAACGTTTGCATTTTCACCGTAACTAAAAAGGGTATTCATTAGCAATAACTAAAGTACTCATTTCATCAATCATTCTATCTTTATTATAAATGAAAGGTGTACCTCCGCCGGGTTGGTTCATGTATCCACCCAATTGTGTTTGGACGCCACCCCCCGAAGGACGGGGGCCATTTTCGAACAAGTCGTGTTTATTTTGCAAATGCCGACTCAAGGTTCCGGTTCCATCTCCCGTTTTCCAATTATATGACTTGACATTTGCACCTAGCGCCTTGCAAACTAGGCATGTACACGTGAACCTCTTTGGTTGACCAGGTTGCCATCCCGGGGGTGTGACCTCAACTCGTTCAAAATGTTTCCACACCCAAGAAAAATGTGCTCGACCTCTACTTTCACCGCCACCACCTTTCATAAATCAAATTATTAAAATTAATTTTTAAATGCTATTCATGAAAATAAGCTTTTAAATTTTAAATATTTTAATTATACTTATTTAAACGCATTTTTCATGGTAATTAACTAATTGTAAATCATAGAAAATTGGAAACTAAACTAACTTTATAATCATTAATAATAGTTTTTTTAAATATTCATAACAATAAAAATTTAATTAGAAATTACCTTGAGATGAAGGTTGAGATGTTGGTTGCGATGGAGGTGGCATAGTTGAACTTGATGATTGGTGGGACTCGTGGGAGAAATGTTGTGGTGGAGACGTTTGAATATTTTGCCTATCTCCTAAACCATAATCTCCATATTCATTGACAAATTGGTTTAAATTTTCCGTATTAATTTCATACGAAAAATTTGCACCACCACTCCTTTGGCTACCACTTCGACCACCACTTTGACTCCTTCCCATTCCTCCTCTTGAGCTCATTTTTTTTTGTATGATTACTAATTATAATATGGAGAAGAACTTTTTTTTTTTAGAATCTTAAGAATACTAATAATAATATTAAGGAGATTTTTTTTAACAAAAATATAACTCTATATAACACTTGAGAATTTGAGAACAATAAGAATTTTTAAGTAAGAGAGAAAGAAAGCTTGAATTTGTGTGGAAATTTGAGTGAAATGGAATTGGTATTTATAGGAAAAATAGAATGGATGATCATACACTTAAAAAACTAGCCGTTAGATACAAAAAACTAGCCGTTAGATACAAAAAACTAGCCGTTTTTTTTTTTAAATGGATGTTAGGCCGTGCGGGCCGTGCGGGTCGTGCGAATTGTGCGGGCTGTGCCGGCCGTGCGGGTTGTGCCGGCCGTGCGGGTTGGGTGGGTCATGCGTGCGGGTTGGGTGGGTCATGCGTGCGGGTTAGGTGGGTTGGCTCGTGCGGGTTGGGTGGGTCATTCGTGCGGGTGGGCCGTGCGGGCTGGGTTGTGCCAGGTGGGTCGGGTTAGGTGGGTTCACGGGCTAGGTGTGTCGAATTAAATGAGTCAAAACGGGTTGTGCGATTTGGGTCGAATCAAACGGGTTAAACTGAGCTGGGTTGAAATGCGTTGTGTCGAAAATTTTGGACCCACGACACAACCCGTATTAAATCCGAGCTGTGTCGGGCTGTGCCGGATTGAAACCGGGTCGGACCCACGTGACCCACCAGCCGTGCGAGTTAGGGTGGGCTGGGTCCAACCCGGCCCACTGGCCACCTCTGAGTACACGTAATACTAGTATCCTATTATCTTAGAGTAGTACACTAATTATCTTAGACTACACTTCTTAACAAAAAAAAAAAAAAAAATTAGAGTAGAGTAGTAGCACTGCAGCATAGCAGTTTCGTCTTCCTCCTCCAAAAACCCAAACCCTTGAACTTCTATGGTTTCCCTCCCAAGTTTTTCACCACCTAATTAGAGGCGATCGTTTTTAAGATTGTGTCCATCATCATCTACTTTGTAAGGCCGCCACCGTCGTCTAGTTTACAAGGCCGCCACCATCTGAAGCGTACTCGGGTCACGACTATCAACCACTCTATTTCAAGCGATTGTACAAAGGTAAGCCGTTCGCATTCCGAGCCACGTCCCCCAACCACAATTCAAATTCGTTCTTGTTTCATTGTTCACTATTAATTATTGATAAAGATTGTGAAAAATGATTATGATTTGTGATTTGATATGGTTATCTTTAGGCCTTACACAGACGTAATAAACAGGACATATCTGAGCCCCTAATTGATTTTCTTATTATATTACAACTCAATAGAGATTGAAAAAATATCATATCAGTAGCACTAAATAATTTTTAAGAAATCAAAATCAAGGAATTCATTTGTGTGAAAAAGAGAATTGGAAAATAAGATTTACTTTTTCTCGAGTTTTATACAAAGAAAGACTTGTGGAATTCAATTGATTTATTTGTTCTTGTTTAACATGCTTACTGCAAATGGAAAAACTTACATATTTAGAGGAAAATCAACACAAGTTTCTATATGCTTATGTACCCTCTACAATATGTAGAATGAATAGATTAAATCTGGTAAAAGAAGGGAGGAAATACGAAGTATATTCTCATTCCCGCTGCAATGCTCATTCCCGCTGATAAGGTGTTAACTGGTTTAAATTCTGGTTTGTTGCCTAATTATCATCCAGGAATATGTAGTTTTCAAAAATTTGTTCGTCGTAAATCTCATGCTTTGTATCCTGGCTCCTGAGTTCTGACCAAGGTTTTTTATGTTTTCTTGAATTGTTCTTCTGAGTTTTGACCAAGCCTAAATGCCTAATGCAAATCGTTATCTGAGTTTAGGGACTGTGATACAAACATATGCATAAATCTTCAGGCATCATTATGAAATTATCTCTCTGTTTAGATATAGTTGTCATGTTGCCCAATCCTATCATGATTAAGGATCTAACATAATTTCATTCAGATACCTACCTTATATTAGTTCCTTTATTTCAAAAGGGGTGTACGTCCGTTGCTATTAGAAACACATGAAAATTTTAGGGAAAAATCTTGTGTTAAATTTCAATCATCTATATATATGGTACAAAGAGACTCTCGATGCCCTAATGTAAAGCAGAAGCTACTTTTTTTAACAAATTGTGCTTTGCCTAGAGCCTTCTTAAAGATTTGATCGGTTATTCTGTACAATTACTATTCAATATTCACCATTGATTTTTGCTGATATAATCACTATCATTATGTGTAGTATGCATTGGAGGTTAGCTGTGTTATTAGTCCTTGGAATGGACTAGTGTGCTGGTTAGATCTGGCCGGGGAAGAAAACGAGATCAATGAGTTTGCTAAAAAGATCATAAATGAGTACGTGTTAGAGTGATTATCCAACATATCTGTTTTTTGTATTATATATGCTCTATTATTAATTATCATTTCATTATTTTTGTCAAACAATGTCACAATTCTATAGGGGATTAAAAAAATTCAGCATGGTCCATCGAAAGGACATTAAGAAGATAAAAAAGGATCCATATATTGAGTGGAAGCAACCTAAGGTATGTCATTTTAGTTTATACTCTTGATATTAAAAGAATAATGTGTTATTTACATGCTTGTGTTATAATGCCAAATATTCATGCATTTAAAATTTGAATGTCTTTTTTAACAGTGTCCTCGACAACCTCAATACTCCAAAGTTTGTGGATACTATGTTTGTCGCTATACGCTTGAGATTATAAAGAAAAGTGTATTGTGGGTTTCTGATAAGGTATGTTTAATCTGATTTATGTATTGCTTTTTGATGTGAATTCATGTAGATAGTTCAGAATCTTTATTTCTATAGCTTGGTTTATCATTACCTTGTTGTCTAGGTATCTCGAATATAGGAAAAAAAACAATTATGTCTCTTTGACTTATTTCGAGCTTCTAAATATGCAAGCTTTTGTTCTTTTTTTTTTCTTTTTTTGGTAAGTAAGAAATTTTATTAATACCAAAGAGAAGAGGGCAAGCCCTCAAGATTACAACGGCTAAACAGCCCAAAAAACGCACAAAAACACATGGCACACCCAATCCTACCCAATTGCCTATACACTAAAAGCCGAGAACAACAATGGGCCAAAAGAACAACAAGCCCAAAGAAAAACTAATAAACAACAGAACAACACCAAACAAGAGCTCTACCCCACACAGAAACACACCCAAGGGAAGCAAAAGCCTCAGGCAACGAGAACAAAAGACATTGAAACCAAAAAGGGCAGCAACCAAACACAGCAGAAACCAAAACAAATCAGGCACACCACGGGCCTAAACTGTCCAACCAGAAGCAAAGAAAAAGCCTCCAACAACCCTACCAACACCTGATCACAGCACACAGCAAGTAAGCCTAAAATAGGCTGCTAACAGGACATTCTGCTGAAATAGCTACCCATACAGAGAGTAGCAGCAGACTCCATCTCTTTCTTTCCCATACAGGACAATATTGTCATCAACATGTTGGAGCTCTTCAGCACTGCTACATGCAGCAGCTACAAGCATCTTCAGCCCACCTTAAACAACCCCTTTTTTGGTTCTGTCTTCTATCCCCCCCCCCCTTCAATTAATCCCAAACTTCCTGCCAGGATCATCTACTTTCTTGCCAGCACGTTGCACCGGTCTCCACCTTTTCCTAGCTGCTTCCAACCCTTTTTCTTAGGACAGAAGTTCACCATATGTCCATATAAAGAAGCATGTGACAGGTTGAGCCATATTTTCTGTTTCACACTTTCACCGTTTTCATCAAGAAATTCAATATGTTCGTACAGCTGCTGCTTTGCAGTGAAAATTTACCCCCAAATGGCTCATAATCATGACATTGCATATTTCAACCCATATCATTATATTCATTTGTTTGTATGTGTAATTATTTTTTTAATATAGTTATAATATAGCATTATTTTCCATTATTATTATGAATGAGTTATGATTATGTACGGCGATTTATTGTTTATCTTGCATTATTTTAAAGCGGACCCTGTACGTATTCAACTGAAAATATTGACGAAATTAGAGACTTGTGGGCTAAGTATGTTCTAGAGCTTGAACAAGAAGATGTTAATGAAGGAAATGAAGATGGTATAGACATTGAGTGAGTTTATTTTGTCCATTACTTTTGGGAAAAGTATTGCGATTTTTAGAATTTTTTGTATAGTACTTTTGGAGCTTATCTTAGATAGTATGGAAATTAAATGAGTGGTTTAAATTTTTGGGGAATACTGGATTTTTTTTCTGCAGATGTTGTTGTATAGTATTTTTGGAGGTTATACTATAATTATTGAATATTTGTAAAAGTGTTTATCAACTTTTGTTTATTATTGTATGTTCCATGAATATTATAAAATTATGGAGTAATGTATATGATGTGCATATATATAGCAGGTGAAAAATATAGGTAAAAATATCCTATAGGTGTCATACAGGAACAAATACAACTCATATACCGTACACGAACAAATACAAATATAATTGGATTTTGGGAAATTTTTTTTTAAAAAAAATAACAAAGAGACCTGTTATCATTACTAACAGGTCTCTTAAATAACAACTATGAGACCTGTTGGCCATGGTAACAGGTCTCTTTACTTTCTAAAATATACAATATAATCACGCGCAGAGAGACTTGTTGTCTCACTTCTTAGGTCTCTTATTAATACCAAAGAGACCTGTTCTATTGACCAGGTCTCTTAACCAAAGAGACCTGTGAGCTAGAGACCTTCAAAGAAGAGGTCTCTTATGCCTATTTTAACAGGTTTCTAAGGCATATTTTGTAGTAGTTTGGGTTGGGGTTACTAATGATTTTTGTCTTTGTTTTTCATAACAAGGAGGTTTTATTCAATTATTCTAATGTATATCACTTGTCTCGTGAAGAATTTCAAACATTGATCCCAGGACAGTTAATACCAAGTCGTGTGATGGACTGTTTTTATATTCTTTTGAATTTTGAGGAGATCTTGGCAGGTTTCACTTATGGTAGAGTTTTCTTTGGAGATGAACATATGGTAAGTCTGTATGTTTGTATTTCTAATACTATAACAGAAATTACAATATCTCATTCACTTATTTTTGCTCGTTAGTTTGTATGTAGTGGCCTGTTCTGCAATGTCTTGTTGTTGGTGATGGTTGTGTTTATGAGAGTGATGTATATGGTGCATGGGATCATTGGTTTTTAAATGTCAGATGTTCAAAATTTTTGGATGCTATGCTAGTACAAAACCGATCTCTTGTCAAAATTTCTTGTATATAAAGTGAATGAATTTGGTATGACAATTTGGTACATAACTGATCTGTTGTCAAAATGATCTCTTTTATTCCTGTTTTGTAGATTTTTATGCCAATTTGGTATGGCACTCACTATGTTGTTGTTGTTATAAAAAAACCATTGATAATATGGACAGCAGAAAATATACAATCTATAATGAGAAGTTAAAGAAAAATACTTACGATTTTAATGTGGACAGCAGAAAGTATACAATCTATAATGAGAAGTTAAAGAAAAATACTTACCATTGATTGTCTGTTGTGTCAGAAACGGTTACATCACCATAGATGTGGAAGTCTCCTTCATTTCTGAGTCTCTCCAATAGATGGTTGTTAACCTGTTAGTGTTTTGATCACCTCCCAGAAGAAAAAATCTTCTTCTTTTGCCTGTCTTTTATATAGACTGTCTATAACAGTTTGTGCATCCCCCCTTCAATTTCTTTCATTTTTCTTCTTGAAATGTAGTTTAAATGGTCTCTCAAAGTATGACCTAGCAATTCTTCACCCCCAGCTTCGTTAGTCATCAAATTGTAAGCTGCAATTGTCTTTAAACCACTATCTGCCATAAGATCAATTACTTTTGCTTTGTCTTAAGTGATCTTTCTCTCTGGCCTGTGTAGATGTTGCCATGCTTTTCTTGTTAACTCATGGTTGTGATTGATGACATGTTCCTCAATTTCAAACAGGTCTTCCTTGTTTTTTTTTTTCTCTTATTAATGTTTTTTGAACCTGTTTTTTGCATTCTGGTTATAGGAACTTGTTTTACTTTTTTTCTGTTTTCATTTGCCGGAGGAGGAGTTTTTTTTAACCTTGGGTTTGCATCTAAAGCCTTCTTTAGAACAAACAAAATCTTTTCCCTTTATTTGTTTGTTATCTCCTTGAGTCCATTTGGTGGTTGATAGTCTTACTCCAAATCCCATAGCAAATGCATGCTTTTTATATATCTCACAAATTTCATCCAAAGTTTGTGCTATAAATCCTATTAGGCTTCCTATATAGTCAAAATCTTCTTCTTGGGAGCTTTACTCTGTTGTGTCTGATTGTTATCATTTGTGCTTTCTTTTGCTAATGTGCTCTAAGTCTTTTCTGTTGTGTTGTCACTTGTTTCTGTTGTTAATGTACAAGAAAAATTAGCATAGTTACAGTTATCATGGAGAATATTTAATTGAATTACAGTTAACAGGAACAACGGTAGTTACTTCAAGGGTTACTTAATTGGTTACTAGAGGGTTTACTTAAGGGATTATTTAATGGGTTACTAGAGGGGTTACTTAAGGGGTTACCAGAGGGGTTACTTAAGGGATTATTTAATGGGTTACGGGAGGGGTTACTTAAGGGGTTACTAGAAGGGTTTATTTAATGGGTTACTAGAGGGGTTACCAGAGGGGCTACTTAAGGGGTTACCAGAGGGATTACTTAAGGGGTTACTTAGGGGGATGGTAGAGGGGTTACTTGGTCAGATGTGTAAGGGTTACTTAGGGGATTACTAGTTACTTAAGGCTTTGCTATGGTTGTTATTTATGGGGTTACTTTATATTTAGAGATTATTTGTTATGGTTTGCAGGGGTTACTGGGTAAATCATAGCAGTGATGAAAATTTAAATATATTTCCCTATATTTAGGGGTTACTTAGGGGGTTATTTGTCATGGTTTGCAGGGATTATTGGGTAATTCATAGCAGAAATGAAAAGGGTAATTCATAGAAAAACTGAAAATTTAAATATATATTTACCTTGTAATTCGAAGATTTCTAATATGTGTTCTTTGATTTCTCTTATTTTGTTTTCGATCTTTAGATTCATTAATGAATCTCTAATTTCTTCAATTTCCATTGATACTTGTGAGTCTGGAAAATTTGGTTCTTCATCAGCCATGTGAAAGATCTCTGAAAATTTCAAAGTAAAAAATTGAATTGTGAGAAAAATCGAAATGTGAGAAATTTGAGAAAAATTCTGGAAAAAAGTTGAGCAAAATCGAAGTGTGAGAAAGTTGAGAAAAATCAGCGGATTATTGTAGGCTTTTGGGAAGCATGTGGCGTGTGTCAGCCGCTTTTTTTTGTTAAGAATTGATTTCCTGCTTTTTTGTAAAATTTTGGAGAATCCCGCTATTTTTTGTCAGCTTCCGTTATTTTGCTGAGCTGGCTTCAGGCCATACGTTGCAGCTGGTTGCACTACAAACGTGCTGTATATTTTTAGGGTAAAAGACGATCAGTATTAAAATCTCACATGCACTTCCAACTTACAATCTTTATCATCACTAGATCAAATACTACTTAATACTTTATTTTTTTGTTTTTAAGAAGAAACTTAATACTTTATCTAATAATGAAGTACGACTACGGAATATTAAATTAAATAATTTTCACTTTCTACCGTTTAACCAAGAAAATATAGAAAATTCAATTTATCCAAATAATTCAAGGGCAAATGGTATTAAAAGTTTCTGAAATCTTAATAAAAGTCAACCTTCTCCAATAAAGGACATCTCTCCAAATAAATGTTGAAAAAATAGTGGTGAAAATAAGTTATTAAGTGTCAATAAGGAATGAAGGACGCAATGAAGGATGGCCTTTTTCGTTCTGCGGTCCAAATTTGCAGCCACTATGCAATATAAATTGTACGGACTACCCTTTTAAGTCAACAACAAAAATGTCAAACTTGAATTATATATATATTTTTGTTGATTAGAGAGCCAAGGGCAGGTGATGAGAATCGATTCCAAAATCTTTTCGAATCGGAAGAGGAGCTCTAACCGCTTGAGCTATCCCTCACTCTCGAATTATATTCCTTATAAATGTCAGTTTCTTACATACAATTAAAAAATTAAATATAAACACGGAGTACTATAAGAAATTACTTAATTTGTTTTAAAATATGGAGTAGTAGTCATAAAATAGAAAAAAAATAATAATAAATTACGGAGTAGTTGATGGGTACAACAATGAATTTGTAAATTTGTAATGTGTGGCGATAAGAGTTAACCCTAAAAATATAAACAAATTATCTCATTTTTGTAAAAGTATGGACTACTATGATACTTATGACTCACCTTTTATTTTTAAAAAAACCGAAAGGAGATTATATTACTTATGACTCACTTTATTTTCACTTAATTATGAGAAACTAAAAGGTTTTACAAGTTTAGGAAAACTATTACAGACAAGTTTCGATCAATAAGGGCTAATAAGGGTTATCCTAATTTAGTTTATTTATAGCTAAACTAACTTCTGGTGGAGGGCTAAAGACAAGTAAGTTCAAATTAATTAAAATAAATGAAATCAAGTGAATATGATGCATATAATATTGTAATTTAAGAGTTTATTTGTGTCACATAATACCTACAATTTAAAGACCGATTATAAGCCTAAATTATGGTACAATATTAGTTTTGGAATTTATGTCATCATAATATCACAGTGATTAGTAAATTAGTGCTTGGTTAATAATTTGACACAGTATTGGATGATGTATAGTAACACATGCATTATTTTATAAGGAGTACAAAGTTGACATTTGGTGAAAATATCAATATATCATTTTGCACTCAATAAAGTATTGGACGTACTACGTTGTAAAGAAACTATTTAGTTAGGTAGTTATTATGAACCTAGTAGCTACAAAATAAGGCATATTGAATAAAATGCAATTGCAAAGGTCACCATAATGGGGCCTTTTAATTGATGGATCTTGTAATTTTGAACTTTTTCTGGATAGAAGTTGATAAACTTCATTGGAGGCCCCTTTATTAGCTTAGAAAAAAATATATTATAGCTTCGATCTTGATATGTTCCTGATGGAGAAATTTGCAATGGAATACTCACTGATTAAGGAGTTTCACAGTTTTACCCTAAGCTAATTCATGCAAATTCTAGATGATACGCTCTTCATCCTAACCTAGAAATTGAAAAAAAAAATAAAATAAAAGTGTGTAATTAAAAATTAAAATTGTATATATCATGCAGAATATACAACGTTCACGTGCTTTTGAGCTTCTGAGCAGAGCAGAGCAAAGCAGGGGTTAGTAGAGCTCCAATACAGTAGAGTAGAGCAGAGCAGAGCAGAGGTGAACAACTCAAAAGAACAGGGTCTACGTATTATACTATACATGATACATAATATTTTATTTAACCATAAAAATCCATGGGCGTACATCTTTCAGCTTTTTCAGTTTTTGATATTTTGCACAATATCATGGAAGATAAGCTAGGACACTTCTATTCTTTCTAGGTTAGCAACAGAAATAATGAGATAAGTGAGTCAATACTCATACATACCAAAAGAAATATTTTCTGAGAATGCTGTGAATATGTAAATACTAAGAAGTATAGTAAGTATGAACCTAGCTAGCACAGGACAATGTCAAGTTGTCAATGGAGGTAAGGCAAGATCGAGTGGATAAAGCTCGACAATTAATAGACGGCGAAATCGAAAGGGTTAGTTCATTGAGATTTGAGAGTTTAATTTGCAGCCTATAAGAATGAAATGAACAATGCATTTCCATTTTCCAGCATACACAAACTGAATGAAGAGAAGAACATCAATGTGCGGTTTTTGGCTTTTTAACATCTTAGGGAGACTTAAATTTTAACTTATGTGTATCATTGTTGACCCTTTATAAACGTGTGCGAATTGTTTGAATAGTCCTACAAGATGAGGATAATGATCTTGAAATCCATTGTTTGAAACTTTGAATTGTATTGCCTAGAAGGCTAGAATATATGGAGAGAGTATAATTGACTTATAGGTTTTAGTTTAGAGAAAAAGTCTTAAAAGGGATCAAATAAGTTCGATAGAGGTCTTTGTAAAAAAAAAAAAAAACAAAGTTCGTTAGAGGTTTTTGTCAAAAAAAAAAAAAAAGTTTGTTAGAGGTTTTGGCTTCTATCGTTTCGTAAATCATCACAAGTTCAATTTCTCAGCTATATTATTCATAGTTAATGATCAATACATCTTTGATCTTTAATTTATTTGTTGGAAAGTTTGGTGAATGTTGTTGGTTCTAATAGTGTGAGTGAAAAATTTATTATAATCAAACCTTGATGAGGGAACCAGATACATATAAGAAATCATAAAGGTATCTCATGCGATCACTAAAACACAAAGATAGTTCATGATCATTTCCTTAAAATATATAATAATACTCCGTAGTAATGTAGAAAATTCAAGATTCAACCATGCATGTTGTGTATATAATTAAAATTGGTTGTCTTTCTTGATAAACTAATTACGTACGAACATGAAGCCCTAAACCAAAAAACTAAAAAGGCAATGTCTCATATACTAGTACATCTTATGTTGGTTACTGTGTAATATTCTATACTAACGCATGATTCTCCAACATTAAACAGACCAAATTAACGATAGATTATGCTATATATACACAGTATATAGTATCTAATTCTACAGAAAAATGTTGGAAAATAGGAATAAAGTCAGATTATTAATCATGAAAATCTTCTTTTCTTGTGTAATTATTTAAACCTGCCCTTGTTTAGTGGGGCGTGTGCTCATCTTCGCCAATCGGAAACCAAGCATGTGTTACTAATTGCACTACCTAGTAGTAGCTACCTATCTAATAGATAACATCCAAGGCACTATGAATAACATTACTCTCATAATTTATTTTATTTTTTAAAATTTTTCAAAAAAAAAAAAGAATATTCTTAACAATTTTTTTTTGTGCTATTATTATTTTGGGAGATAAGAAGCCTCAAGAGTCAAGATATGAAATTTTATCAAACAAAAATCAATAGGTTGCTTGTAGCAATTCAATTACCTTTTTTTAAGAGAGCCACAAGGACGGGTTGAGAATCGATCCCAAGATCTCATGAAATCGAGAGGGAAGCTCTAATCATTTGAGCTATTCTTTTATATAGTAGAAGGCTTCTTGTCAACTCAAAACTGTAGTCGAGTAATCAATTGAAAAAAAAAATTGAACGATTAAACGAATAATTAGACTATATGCCGCCTTATATGAGAAAAAAAATAAGTTAATCACTTGATATTCATGACAAACAATTGTTTATCTAATGACAAAAGTGTAAATAAGTGTACATGTATTTTTTACTGTTCATGGTTTACATCAAAATCGCTACTTAAACCCCCCTGGATAAACATAAACTATTCATCACTCCCTCCCTTATATGAGAAACCCTTCTTGTTTATGGTTTAGTCATGATGACTAGTTCTAAATTTTATTTATTTATTTTTTGAGGGAAAAATTTATACATCGTTTGGTTATACCTTTTCAATGGATTATTGTGACTATTCTTAGTGAAGATCCTCACGTGTGGGCTGATGTGGCCATGTCGTATCTTTTTCATTGATTCATGGATTGGTACACTGGTATACTTACATTGGGCTTAACCCAATTCAGTGATTGAAATTGGACCATTATTAAAGGCATACTGATATTGGGCTTAATCCTCTACCATGATTCGGACATTGGACAAGATCCACAGATAAAAAACCTCAAAGATATACAAACCTTGGGCTTGGGTTGTGCATAGCCTTGTATTAAAGTTTAGAGGTAAGATCTTCTTTATAACTAATAAATCAAGACAAATTTAACATGGTCCAACAAAACAATGGTTTTTTGTTTTTTTTATCATGTATAATTAGCAAATAACGGTCAAAGTGAAATGAATGAAGAGTAAGAAAAAAAATCAATATTAAACTACTAAAAAATTGGAGAAAGTACATGTATTGGTCCGTTGATCTCCCTCAATTCCAAATATTGAAAAACAAAAAACAAAGAAAATGGAGAGATTTAATCTTTAAATATTAAAGTCTTTATCGAGCCTTGCAATTCAAGCTTATTTTGGGCATGATAAATCCACCAACTGGACTGGGCATATTTGGTTGTGCAAGAGGAGATCCTATTCTATATACTCGGGTGTATATAACAAATTCTAGTGCAAGAGAGTGCCAATCTAAAGTTGATAGGTAAACAAGTCAACTAGGATAGCTGAGATTCCTGTGAAAGGCCTTCTAAATGCTTGTTGGTAACTTTGTTAACTTCCCACATACACCTACTTGATAAATCCTCTAGACAATCCTAAGTAAAGGCGCATGAACTCTTGCTAATGTGAAAACATTACGCAATGATGACTTCATCTTTGTAATTTTAGATATCTGATTTGCCACTGACTTGTCAAGTTTGATAGCTAGATGTGTAGGAGATGGATGTTTTGGAGGAACCATTCGTAGCGAAAAACTAGACCCCCTTTTCTCCTAAAAAGATATTGCAACCCCAACAGATTAAGTGTATAATGATATTGCAAATTTGCAATCAACTAAATTTCAAATGCCATAACCCAGGATGATAGGGAGCGATAAAAAAAATCCATGCTATGTATTTATTTAATGAGCCAATTTGGAATCTTTACCCCAACATAAGATTGTGAAGTTGGTCTAGAAAGCATTTGCTTGGTTAGAAAATATCTTCCTTCACAACACTAACATAACAGAAGCTATTGCATTAGATGACATGTACGTCATTATCAACTACTAGATTTGTTCATT